TAATTAATAATTGTTATATTATTGTACAACATGAGACACTCTTTTAAAAAGCCTGAATGTCCAGCTGTAGATCAGCAGAGACAATATAGAGTTAATGTATTTAAGATTTTTTTAGCTTCATATGAGGCATTGCCATGTTACAAATAATCAGTGTCTTTCCTGTTAAGGAAGATCAAGCATGATTTAAAATATATAAAAAAAAACATCAATTCAGACATTAAATTGTTTGATTTAACTATAAAATACATTTTCAACAACAAAAAGTTAAATGGCCATTTTGAAGTGGATTTATGTGGAGGAGTTTTAAACAACTAATATCTTACCTGTTGCAGATCAGAACAGGACTGACCAGCTAACAACTAGTCTGAATGAAGCTAATAAGCTGAATGCTGGTCAGTCCTGGAGAACTGCAGTTGTTCAAAGACGTTTTCACAAAATGTAAGTTGTAAATGTTTAGTAAAATTTCCACAAAACCACATTTCAAAAGGGCTGGATTATCTCCCTAAATTGGTAAGTGCCTTTGCCAGATTAACACACTTTGCAAGAAGTGCACTTCTAAAGTCAGATAGCCCTACGACTTTCCCCTTCTTGCACGACTAAAAAAGTTGGAACACAAGTAGAACTCAGTTTACGATGCAACAAAGGGAAACAGGATTCACTGTGAACAATTTCTGCTCACACACGTTCCAGTGAAAACTCCACAGCACTTTTAGCTTCTATTTGTGTTTGCCTACAGATTTCCTGCAGACTCCGAGTTCCATGGCTTAAAGAAAGCTCAGAGTTTAGTTGCTGTCTCAGACTTGATTTCTTTCTTTTCTTGTGATGTTTGGTTTGTCAGTGGAGTCTAATAATCCCATGTGCAGCCATCTGGGAGAAATTTGTGGACCAACCCAATGAGGATCAACCCTTCAGCCATAAAACTGTTCCACAAACACACCTTTTGTCTAAACGTTTCCCTTCCTGACTGACTCTCATTGGACTCACCGTGTTCTGAGTCTCAGTAAATTTGGACCATGAGTCTCCTCTGTGCTGTAAATGACGGACAGTGATAAATATGTGTTTTCTGTCATGTTTGTGGTTTGATTGTGAGAGTAAATAATGGGAGATTATAATTTTTTCATGAAATAATACTTCAAATTGTATTTTTCTTTAATTGTATATTTACTTTATTTACAGTGGTCCTTCCCGGTGCATGTAAACCCTTTGAGATGCAATAAATTGGATGACGGACAAATCAGCTCTTCATCTTTTTTAAAACTTTGAAAATAATAAAAATAATTATTTTTTTCATTCCCAGGCACTTGTTTTACAAACGTTTGCACCTCCATCGACTTCATCTTACGTGTTTTCTAAGTATGTTATGAATGTCATAATCCCTGTAAGCTATACAGCAGCTGTCCTGAGTGGGTTTGAAAATGTGCTCATTGATTTATAGGTGACCACTTCCACATGTGTGCAGCAGTATGACCTCTTCAGTTGGATACCTCAGCCTCATTTGGCCAAGACAGACCCACCACCAGTAGTGGTCATCTGGCAGCCCGAAGGGGCTGACCTCTAATGTCCAACTCCTTCAGCTGCTTTGTGATAAAATTGGATACAACCCCCACCCCAGGAGRCCACTTCCATTGGTGCACTTTCACGTTCCAGCTCTACTCCTCAGCTTCAGCTGCTTAGATTGGCAGAAAAAAAGCTACAGCTRCTAATTGCTTTTACAAATAATCCTAGAATTCAGTGTACCCAAACATGAAAGTTTAGTGCACTGCTCACATCAGTCTCTGTAAAGTTTTGACATAGCTGTTTTAAGACTTTGGTCCCACTCAGACTAAACATTAGCTTGTCAAACTGATTGAATTAATCTGTTTTCCCAAACTAAAACCATTTAAAGAGCTATATACAGAAGGTTAGACCATTGCYCATAAGCTTTCAATGTCTTTAAAGTACATGTATTATGCTTTGAGATCCTGTTTTTTACACATTTAAATCATTCAAGTGAAACTGCAATGCTTTGGTCTGAATTCCTCCATGTTGTAACTCCAMAAGCCCCACATATTTCACAGATGTTAATTTTTTTAATAGATTGTTTACCTTTTCTGTCTATAAATAAATGTTTCTTTCGTCTCATATTACATGAGCTGGACAAACAATAAAAAATGTCTTCCTGCTTGAAGATGTCTCCACACGACTGAAGAGCAGGTCCAGTGTGAGCTCTGAGTATTTGCTGCTGTTTAATATAAGATGAATGTTTGAAACCGGAATCATCACAAACACACACAAACATATAAAGTCACTTGGTTTAATAGTAATTAATACTCTTGAGATGTTTGTTTTTTCTTTAATAAAATAAACAAGATAAGTGAAACCCATTACATCCTAATTTTAAACTTTTTATAAGCAGTATTCAAAATCTAATTTACTCTTTAAAAATAGAGAAATATAAAGAGCTCAAGTAATCTGTTGAATGTAGCCTCACATTAAATACAAGTACAGTACCAGAAAACTATTTTCTACAGTCGTTTGAAAAAGAAAAGGAATAACAAACTTTACAGTCTCATAAATTAGCACCACGTTGTTATGTGCACAATGAATCACTGTGTTGCAAACAGACAAAAGATGAAACAAAAATAAAATAACATTTTCTATGCAGCTTTTCTCTATTTTAACAGAACAATGTAGTTGTAAAAAAAAGTATGCAATTTTCTAGATATATATACAAATTGAGCCGTCAACAAATTGTCTAAGTTTAAAATGAATTTTCTTCATTTTTGATAAAGTTCATTAAAAAAAACTGAAGATACATCAGCCTGTTTCTGGGTCTTTTTGTTTTTTCAACGCGTGCTTCTGTTTGGTGAAAAACACTTTAAAATACACGTTTCTTTCAACAAATTCAATGCCAATAGATAAATAAACGTATAAAGCTTAGTATTATAAAGCATTTTCAATCTCCATTAAGTCATTTAAAAAATGTTAAAACAAAATATAACCTAATACATATTTCTATACTCTGACGATTAAAAAAAAACGTATAAATAAAAAAGACAAGCCACAGAGTTCCTTTTGTTGTAATTTTAACTAAGTTTTCTCAGTCAAATGGGAGTCGGTGTAGTTGAGTCAAAAAAAGATGCAGAGTTATAAAGAGCCAGGAAAGGAGGTGCAGATGTTGAGCTGATGCTCGGTGAAAGAAAACTATGGGTCCGTTTAAWGAGACTGGGTCAGGGAGACGGGAGTAGTAGCAGGAAAAGGTGGTGTTTCTGTATTGTCTCAGGCAACCTGACACTCACTCGAGTCCCCGTGGACCCAGTAGCAGATCTGAGCGTATTTGAGGGGCGTTATCCTGACGGCCACATTGTAATCCTGCTGCATTCCGTTCCCATTAACATCCACCCACTGGTGACCAGTGAAAACCCCAATAATCTTCCTCGTCCACTTCTTCTTGCCTGGCTCTTTGAGACGGATGTAAACCCCAGAGCCGCTAGAGCCGGGCTTGGCGTCACAGTACTGATACAACAAGTCATTGGATTCCTCGGACACGGAGCAGAACCGGTACACCAAGTTACCGGGCCGGTCATCGTCAAAGCCAGAGAAATGAATCCTTCCAGCAGGGAGCTTCTTCACCGAAGGGATAACACCCAGGTCCATGTACTTTACTTTYGGAGCTTTCTTCAACTCAAGAACAGCGTAGTCATAATCTGCAGCAAGTCCATCAGCCACACCCTTGAACCAGCCCTTTGGAACCTGGGTCTGTTTGACTCTGGTCCACTTAAAGGAAGGTTTCCCTGATTCCACACTTCGACGGCTCCGGCTCTTCCCATTTTTCCCCTTTCCTTTACGGTTCTTTTTCCCGCTGTTTTCCTCTGGTTCCCATGCTTCCTCTGTAGCTCTGTCATCCTTTTTTCTTCTGCCCTTTTCTTTTCCTCCCCTACCTTTGCCTCCCTTTGCTCGTCGGCTCTTCTCCTTCAAAATGCCAACACGTAGCTTCTGAACTCCGTCCAGGTAATTCTTGCCATCGTGGATGCAATGTGCAGCTGTCAGCACATGTTTAGGTGAAACAAGAACACCGGAACATCCTGTGGAGATCTTCACCGAGGTAGAGAAGGGATATTTGGTGGAGAACTGTTTGTCAGCAATAGTAAAACGAGTGTCGGWACCGTAGACCTCTCGTTTGTGGCGGGAGCGAGACGAGACATTTTGGGGCCAGACAGTCACCTCATTGAGGCCGTGCACAGAAACTGAGGTATACGTACGTGTGCCATTCTCGTAGACTGTCTCATAGGACAGAAACTGCTCTAAGTCATCTAGGGAAGGTAAAGGAAGGCGACGCTGACACTCGATCCCACAGGTCCCACTTAGCTCCGGTTGAGGGTGAGCTGAGAAGTTTGGGATGCTGAGGGGCACGGTACGTTTTTGCCTTACAAGTGGCACCGTCCACTGTGGCCAGATGTACTGATCATCGACTTTGTTCTCCTCTGCAGCTGCAGCCACCCCCACAGTCAGCACCATGACCTGAAGCAGGATGCAAAGTGGTAAGAGGCCCATTGTTAAGTGGGGCCTGGCTCTGAAAAAGGAAACATAAGACAAGTTGAAATAATTAGTTTGTTGATTTGATTCATTGTGTTAAACAAAGGCATGTAAAATGACCTGCAAAATGAGCTAGCCTCCCTTGCAATTCCTTCCCTCACAACCAGAACATTGAAATCGTTTTTTAAATTTTAACCTGAGTGACGGACCCAAACAAAACATTTCAGATTACAAAAATTAAAGGAACAAAAAACTTCAGCTCAAACGCCCTCTTTTGCCGAGCTACTTCTTCTGTTATGCAGGAAGTCAAACATGCCAACAAAGCAATGCATATGAAAAAGCACCTTGGTGTTTCTAAATCAACACCAGGAATCCTGAAATGGAAAGTGCATATTTCTGTCCTGAGCCTAAAGCCACTGCTCAGGTGGATGATTTAAATAAGCAAATTGTAGAGTTATAAGCCCAAGTTGCTCAGCTTTGGACACATAAAACCATTAAGAACAAGACATCAAACTCAAGTATCAACACAAATGACTGCAACACCTGATCAGACTTTACAGGTGGTCAGTTCAGAAAGACCAACTCCAGACCACAATCATTGTACTGCTTTCATTGTGGGGAGGATGGTCATTTTGTTACTAAATGCAGCAATGATGCTGACCCCATTCAACATCAAAGTTTTTTTACAAGCAAATGCACTGAGGCAATCATCAGTTGCCTTTTAGACACAGGGTCTCAAGTTAGAACTGTTTCCTTATCTTTTTATAAAGCTAATATGAGAGACCAAGAAATCGAGCCACTGAAGCACAAGTGTTTTCAGAGCTGGATACTCAGCTGTGATCCCCAGTATCTTCTCTGTGAGATGGGAAACTATATTATCAGGAAAGCTAAGAATCTTAACTGTTTTTTTGTTCCAAAAGTGTTTAATCTCCACAGCTGTCAGCTATTTTCATTATTTCTTGATTTGTGGAAGTCTCTCAGAACTCCCTTTGGTTCTGGGCTGAGTCTGCTCTCTGATTTCCTGCTGGGGTCAGAAAATGAACTTTGGTCTGACTCACAAACTTCTTCCAGTGGTGTGAATCTGTTTTGCAGAAATATTCCTCTGTCTTCCACTCTCTTGTTATCCCCTGTCTTCATATCAGTCTGCTGCTGTTTTCTCCCCTTTGCTGCTGCTGGAGAAAATACATTCCTCTGTACTGAGGAAAAACCTCTCTGTAGTTCTGGYCATTTGATGTCATCCAAATGGTGAAGCCTCCCTGAGAGACTTTTTTGGTCTTTCACCAAGAGAGCTCCAGGCAGATGGGCTCCTCGAAAAAGTTCCAGTCTCCCCTGTTTGTGCGCATGTTGACTCCTTCAAAGCATTTATCTCCTCTAGATGATAAATTTTGATCTCTAACATCACTACCTTCTGGAGAACTGGAAGGTCAATCACAAACCAGGAGACCAATTYAAGTTTAGACTTGAACATTTAATTGCAAAGAATAAAGCCATACCACTACCTTCAGCTGGACCAAAATACAGACCATCATTTATTCTGGTAACAAATCTGGTAACACATCACATATTTAAACAAGCTCTTCTGGGTCTATAGCCACTCCTTCAATACGTCATGTCTGTTGGGCAGACTTTCTCAATAATTCAGAGCTCTGATGAGAAAATTGTTAAATGGTGATCTGTAGTGTTGTTGATAYGGTGTTAACTTATCTTGTGATTTACAAGTACATTTTGTTTTAAGATGACCCGTGACACATCAATTGATCACAGATTAATCATGGTACAAAAAGATAGATAATTATAGATGATCAAAAATAGCTTAGATCGCTTAGTAAAAACAAACAAGTGTTTTTTTGTTTAGTGCATTATAAAACATCAGTGCTAAATAGAAGAAATTTTCCTTAAGTAAGAAACTTTACAAGTTGATAAATTCATCGTTTGGATGATAAAACGTATTGGCTGACAGCAGTCTATACTCAAACAGGATGTGTTTCTTTAATGATTAGGTTGCACCACTGCATAATATGCAGTGAGGAAAGGTATTGAACTGAGAAACCTTTCTGCTGTGGATAAATAACACATTGGGTTGGGCAAAATCATATCATGTGCAACAATGGTAATTATCAAAAAACTGTAATTGATTATTTTTTGGCACTTGACAATTAATGTGATTAATGCCACCAGGCAGACTGACTGGAGATTTCCCCGGTCAGTCCGCTCRGTGCTCGTCTCTGCTTCAAATATGACGAACATTTAAATAAAAGCTATTTATTTATCTCTGGTTTTACTTGGCCTATCAACACAATTAAAAAAATGATGTATAGCCTGAAGTCTGTACTTTTTGACACAATTTCAGATTTTTACAGAGAGCAAATCTTTCCCACTACAATGTTTTAAATTGGTCATGTATGTCATGATTATTGTTTCATGGTTGTTGTTAGAATTTTTCTGTCCATTGTTTGGTCATCTTGTCTTATTTTCTTATTTCCTGTTAGTTTTCTTCATTTCCTGTATCATGTTATCATCAGTAGCTTCTTAGTGTTTTTCCAGCCTGCCACTCTCACCTGTCCATAGTCTGTAATCACCAAGGTGTTTCCACCCCCAAATCATCCTCAGTTGTATTTAACTGGTGTCATGTCTTTATTACCCCGTTGGATCATTGCCTTTTATGCCTCGTCTCTGTCAACTTTTTTTTTTTGTATTTCTGCTGCCACGCCAGCCTTTTCTTGTTATTTAATAAACCAGTTTTTGTTTTTTCATTTATCGACTCTGCCTGTACTTTGGGTTCTACCACACCAATCCTGATTATGTAACTGGGATGTGCATTCAGGGACTCCAGGGGATTAATCGATATTGGCTAAATACCGCAATTAATCATGATTAATGTTTTTGCCACTATCKCTCAACACTAATACCACACAAACTGAGTACAACCCCTCAAGGGTATGTAATTTATTTTATTTTTGTAAGACGGATGCTTTGGTTCCATTTTTAATGTTCATGTAAACTTTATTTTATTTGAAAGTGTCTTCAAACAACCGACAAATGGTTCAATACAAGGTTGCATTTTCTTCAACTTTGTCTGTGTCATCAGTCACATTTTTGCTCCACCAGAACTGGTTCAGTAGTCTAGGTTTCAGTTATTCAAATTCTGTAGTCTGAGCCAGTTGCTATCATCGACATCAGTACTGATATCTATTYGGAGCATCAGAACATTTTGTGAAAATGTTGACATTGGGCTTGATATGGACACCAGCACTGATTTCAGGACACCACTAATTTGTRGAGCCAAACAATAACAGCAGCAAGTCTAATTAGGTACATCTTCATGAGTCTGGTACATCTACAGGATCTGTTTGACCATTCTTGCAGGTAAAGGTAAAACTGCTCCAGCTCCCTCAGGTTGGATACATCACAACAGAGATTCTCAGTTTCTGAGTTTTCACTGAATTATCCGAGGACTTTTATCTGTTCTTCCTTAAACCAGTGGAGTGTTGTTTCAGATGCGAGTTTAGGGTCATTGTCCTGCTGGAAGGTGAATCTCTGCCCCAGACCTAAATGTAAATCAGATTTAAACAATTCTTTCCTCTAGAATTTCTAAATATTTTGTTCCATTCAGCTTTTCTTCAGCGCTGGACAGTTTTCCAGTTGCTAGTGATGAAAAACCCCTCACATCCTTATGCTCCCACCACCGTACTGTGRTGTTCTCAACATGATGGGAGGCATAGTTTAATTGATGAATAGAAMGTTCACTTTTAGTTTCATCTTACCACAGGATTTTGGCAAATCCCAAATGGTGTGGTTTATTTTTTATACCCAATGTATTTTTCCTGCCACTCTTCAATGAAGTCCACCTCTGTGCAGTCTGTGGTAATCCCATGGACAGATGCTCTCAGACACTTACAGCAGAAGAGCCCTCCCAGTCCATCAGGGTCATTTTCTGACTTTGTAAGTTTTGGTGGACAACCGCATTGATATAAATTATCATAAATCAATGGACAACCCTCTGTTGGTAGGTTTGCTGTGGTGAAATAAGCTTTTCAGTATTCATTAATCACTCTGAAAGTCTAATTAAACTCCAGGTTTTAAGGTAAAAAAGCAGTAAGTGTAGCTCACTGTATGTTTTTGATGTGTGGGTTATTTTTTACACCAAAATGTGTAATGCACAATAGTGTAATACCATCATATATAACAYATATGCATGAACCACAGTTACTCTGAATGTTCCCTTCTTTTGTTTTTAGARTTCTTTCTTCACTCAGTAAAAAAATCAAAATGACGATTTCAAAATAATGAATTTAAAACAACTTTGCTGAGCTTAAAGTTGTCCTCTGTGGAGGACCAAAACTGTCATAAGAAATAACAGCAGAAATATGGATCCATAAATAAATAATTACACTTGAAATGCACAAATTAAATTAAAAAAGGAGAACTTTGCCTCACATTTTATCATTTAATCGACCTTCATATTTATTTTTCCAATGTAGTTCCAATAAATTATATAT